AACTGTTTTTCTACAACGGTCCGACATGACCCCATAAACTGTTTTTCTACAACGGTCCGACATGACCCCATAAACTGTTTTTCTACAACGGTCCGACATGACCCCATAAACTGTTTTTCTACAACGGTCCGACATGACCCCATAAACTGTTTTTCTACAACGGTCCGACATGACCCCATAAACTGTTTTTCTACAACGGTCCGACATGACCCCATAAACTGTTTTTCTACAACGGTCCGACATGACCCCATAAACTGTTTTTCTACAACGGTCCGACATGACCCCATAAACTGTTTTTCTACAACGGTCCGACATGACCCCATAAACTGTTTTTCTACAACGGTCCGACATGACCCCATAAACTGTTTTTCTACAACGGTCCGACATGACCCCATAAACTGTTTTTCTACAACGGTCCGACATGACCCCATAAACTGTTTTTCTACAACGGTCCGACATGACCCCATAAACTGTTTTTCTACAACGGTCCGACATGACCCCATAAACTGTTTTTCTACAACGGTCCGACATGACCCCATAAACTGTTTTTCTACAACGGTCCGACATGACCCCATAAACTGTTTTTCTACAACGGTCCGACATGACCCCATAAACTGTTTTTCTACAACGGTCCGACATGACCCCATAAACTGTTTTTCTACAACGGTCCGACATGACCCCATAAACTGTTTTTCTACAACGGTCCGACATGACCCCATAAACTGTTTTTCTACAACGGTCCGACATGACCCCATAAACTGTTTTTCTACAACGGTCCGACATGACCCCATAAACTGTTTTTCTACAACGGTCCGACATGACCCCATAAACTGTTTTTCTACAACGGTCCGACATGACCCCATAAACTGTTTTTCTACAACGGTCCGACATGACCCCATAAACTGTTTTTCTACAACGGTCCGACATGACCCCATAAACTGTTTTTCTACAACGGTCCGACATGACCCCATAAACTGTTTTTCTACAACGGTCCGACATGACCCCATAAACTGTTTTTCTACAACGGTCCGACATGACCCCATAAACTGTTTTTCTACAACGGTCCGACATGACCCCATAAACTGTTTTTCTACAACGGTCCGACATGACCCCATAAACTGTTTTTCTACAACGGTCCGACATGACCCCATAAACTGTTTTTCTACAACGGTCCGACATGACCCCATAAACTGTTTTTCTACAACGGTCCGACATGACCCCATAAACTGTTTTTCTACAACGGTCCGACATGACCCCATAAACTGTTTTTCTACAACGGTCCGACATGACCCCATAAACTGTTTTTCTACAACGGTCCGACATGACCCCATAAACTGTTTTTCTACAACGGTCCGACATGACCCCATAAACTGTTTTTCTACAACGGTCCGACATGACCCCATAAACTGTTTTTCTACAACGGTCCGACATGACCCCATAAACTGTTTTTCTACAACGGTCCGACATGACCCCATAAACTGTTTTTCTACAACGGTCCGACATGACCCCATAAACTGTTTTTCTACAACGGTCCGACATGACCCCATAAACTGTTTTTCTACAACGGTCCGACATGACCCCATAAACTGTTTTTCTACAACGGTCCGACATGACCCCATAAACTGTTTTTCTACAACGGTCCGACATGACCCCATAAACTGTTTTTCTACAACGGTCCGACATGACCCCATAAACTGTTTTTCTACAACGGTCCGACATGACCCCATAAACTGTTTTTCTACAACGGTCCGACATGACCCCATAAACTGTTTTTCTACAACGGTCCGACATGACCCCATAAACTGTTTTTCTACAACGGTCCGACATGACCCCATAAACTGTTTTTCTACAACGGTCCGACATGACCCCATAAACTGTTTTTCTACAACGGTCCGACATGACCCCATAAACTGTTTTTCTACAACGGTCCGACATGACCCCATAAACTGTTTTTCTACAACGGTCCGACATGACCCCATAAACTGTTTTTCTACAACGGTCCGACATGACCCCATAAACTGTTTTTCTACAACGGTCCGACATGACCCCATAAACTGTTTTTCTACAACGGTCCGACATGACCCCATAAACTGTTTTTCTACAACGGTCCGACATGACCCCATAAACTGTTTTTCTACAACGGTCCGACATGACCCCATAAACTGTTTTTCTACAACGGTCCGACATGACCCCATAAACTGTTTTTCTACAACGGTCCGACATGACCCCATAAACTGTTTTTCTACAACGGTCCGACATGACCCCATAAACTGTTTTTCTACAACGGTCCGACATGACCCCATAAACTGTTTTTCTACAACGGTCCGACATGACCCCATAAACTGTTTTTCTACAACGGTCCGACATGACCCCATAAACTGTTTTTCTACAACGGTCCGACATGACCCCATAAACTGTTTTTCTACAACGGTCCGACATGACCCCATAAACTGTTTTTCTACAACGGTCCGACATGACCCCATAAACTGTTTTTCTACAACGGTCCGACATGACCCCATAAACTGTTTTTCTACAACGGTCCGACATGACCCCATAAACTGTTTTTCTACAACGGTCCGACATGACCCCATAAACTGTTTTTCTACAACGGTCCGACATGACCCCATAAACTGTTTTTCTACAACGGTCCGACATGACCCCATAAACTGTTTTTCTACAACGGTCCGACATGACCCCATAAACTGTTTTTCTACAACGGTCCGACATGACCCCATAAACTGTTTTTCTACAACGGTCCGACATGACCCCATAAACTGTTTTTCTACAACGGTCCGACATGACCCCATAAACTGTTTTTCTACAACGGTCCGACATGACCCCATAAACTGTTTTTCTACAACGGTCCGACATGACCCCATAAACTGTTTTTCTACAACGGTCCGACATGACCCCATAAACTGTTTTTCTACAACGGTCCGACATGACCCCATAAACTGTTTTTCTACAACGGTCCGACATGACCCCATAAACTGTTTTTCTACAACGGTCCGACATGACCCCATAAACTGTTTTTCTACAACGGTCCGACATGACCCCATAAACTGTTTTTCTACAACGGTCCGACATGACCCCATAAACTGTTTTTCTACAACGGTCCGACATGACCCCATAAACTGTTTTTCTACAACGGTCCGACATGACCCCATAAACTGTTTTTCTACAACGGTCCGACATGACCCCATAAACTGTTTTTCTACAACGGTCCGACATGACCCCATAAACTGTTTTTCTACAACGGTCCGACATGACCCCATAAACTGTTTTTCTACAACGGTCCGACATGACCCCATAAACTGTTTTTCTACAACGGTCCGACATGACCCCATAAACTGTTTTTCTACAACGGTCCGACATGACCCCATAAACTGTTTTTCTACAACGGTCCGACATGACCCCATAAACTGTTTTTCTACAACGGTCCGACATGACCCCATAAACTGTTTTTCTACAACGGTCCGACATGACCCCATAAACTGTTTTTCTACAACGGTCCGACATGACCCCATAAACTGTTTTTCTACAACGGTCCGACATGACCCCATAAACTGTTTTTCTACAACGGTCCGACATGACCCCATAAACTGTTTTTCTACAACGGTCCGACATGACCCCATAAACTGTTTTTCTACAACGGTCCGACATGACCCCATAAACTGTTTTTCTACAACGGTCCGACATGACCCCATAAACTGTTTTTCTACAACGGTCCGACATGACCCCATAAACTGTTTTTCTACAACGGTCCGACATGACCCCATAAACTGTTTTTCTACAACGGTCCGACATGACCCCATAAACTGTTTTTCTACAACGGTCCGACATGACCCCATAAACTGTTTTTCTACAACGGTCCGACATGACCCCATAAACTGTCTTCTACATCGGTCTGACACCGCCATCCAGTGTCCTCTACACCGTTATGACACCCCTATACAGTGTCCTCTACAACGTTATGACACCACCATCCAGTGTCTTCACCAATGGTCTGACACGACCATACAGTGTCTCCTATCCTCTTTTATTTTTATGTATTTTCTTGTTTTGTTACTCTCTCCAAACTCAAGTTGGTTAGTTTCTATCCTCCTTGAGTTTGCGGGGGCTGTTAAAATTTACCATCACCTACCACCAATTTACCATCACCTACCACCATCTACTCCTCACCTACTACACTCACCCTCTCCTATATAATGAGTCACTCACCATTTGTAATATATCACAAAACATTCATCAATCAGTCAATAATACAATTCTCTATTTCTCTTTATATATTAAATTTTACACTATGCTATCCCTATGTGGTTTTTGGTTTCGAGGCTTGGTTAATGGATAAAACTCTAATTTGGATCAAATGACTTCGACTTGTAGTTGTAGCTACAATGCCCGGTTACAAATCAAAGAGGACACACATTTTGTTGGGAGAAGAAGCTGCAACAGTAGATTTTGTTCTTGATCCAGAAATCACTCCAACGGGGAGTCTACTACGAAGTGGCTGTGACTGCAGCTGTGATAATAAGAGCAGGCTCAGATTGGTCGGGTTTTTGTCAGGTCCCCAATTGGAACTTTCATTTATTTTTATTTTAATTTTAATTTTGATTTCAATGTTCCTTTGCTTTTTATTGAAGAGGAGAACGATATTTACATATTTGAAACATAGACAGTCAGTAGGTCAAAAAAGGTCTATTGTGGTATGAGTTTGTCTGTATATACTACTCACGAAACATACATATTTATTCAAAGGCTACGTATTATTTGCTCTCGACTCGATTATCTGCTTCCTATTATCTGATATTCAAATTTAGTTTTTGCTTTGGTTGAATGCATAGTAGCAGAGATGTGAACTGTGTTATACGAATCTGCTATTGGAATACTTGCATATTAGTTCTTGTTCATCTTGCATGCGAAATGAGAGGTATCCAGCATTCCTCTTTATTACATTTCTTTATTATATTTTAAGAATATAATAGCAGAAAAATGCGATATAACAAAGGAATTTTCTTTAGAGGTTAATAGAAGCGGGATAACTAGAGAGTTACAGACACTTTACATGAATATTGAAGCATTATGCTAGTGTACTTTACAACATAAAGCCTAAGAAATTTTATTTGCTACTTAAAATGGTCAATAGACATGACCCTTTTCTTAGGATGTCAACAACAATAATATAAAATGACTTAAAAAAATTATTCTGTTTTACAATCAACAGATGATTGATTATGATCTTCATTCTTCACAATTCACATGATTTTAGCACCATCTTCCTCGGAGACTAATTTTCTTAATCGGTTCAGTAATAACTCAAAGTCATTTTGGCTTCTGAGGAGGCTGAGCCGGACATGGCGATTGTTGACACCGAACCTTGTACCCTTGCGGCCAATGATGTTTGCTGCTCGGAGGACTGCGTAACAGTCTTCGTCTTCTTCCCTTTCACACTTCAACCATGCATAAGCTGAAACCAGTACAAATTCCTAGGCATTAGAACTAGTCTTTATACAAGATAAGCTTGTTTTTTGAAAAATATTTTCAGCCGAAACAAAGAAAGTGTCAATGTTATTTCTTTATTATCTGTTTGCATTCCAATTTCCAAGTACTATTATTCCAGTTGATACTAGTAGACATAGTGAGAAAGAAATATAAAAGTTCTCAAATGAGAAGATTCTGAATCATATAAATGAGAAAATCACCTGGAGAAGGTCCCCTGACTTGTTGGAAAAAAGTGCAGAACTGAGGTGGAATTTCCTGAATCGAAAAACGCCCCCTTAACATTGACAATGTTGTCCTCAGTTTTTCCCAGCGTTCGCTCATCGCTTTGTATGAAAATTCAAATATTTCTCTCTCATCCCCATCTAGAACTACTTTTAGAAGCTTCGCCGCTCTCAACTGAGTATCCCGAGAAACACCCAATTCAGATGTCTGTATATATTGCAACATTCTTTGGTAAACTGTCTCATCTTTTACCAATGCCCACCTGAAGAAAAATAATTATCAATTTTGAAAAAAAAACATAATTTGTTTTTTAAAAATATTTATTGTATGTCATATATATGAATATATCATTTAAAGATAAAAAAAAAAATGCAACATAAAACCAATTAGTCTGAATCAGCACTGTTTTTTCTTAGAAATTTATTTGTTGTTACCCAAATCTGCTACCGGCATGACCAGTGAGCTTAGAAATTGTAAAAATCATCAGATCATCATCTGCCGGTGCTGGAATTGCTGTGAAATGCGGCCAGTAATAGGCACGATCATGAATTGTCTTCACAGACGGGCCTTCAAGAACTGCCTTGTTCAGCTGACAGTCAGGATTGTTCGGTGAAGTTACAAACTCAATCATACTTACGTTTGCGTCCATTGACCTGTTCTTCCACAAATTTGCATCTCCTTGAAACTTGAAATCAACTGATCTGAAGTACTCAGTTTGGATTTCATAAACCTGAAAAAAAGAAAAGAAAGACAAGATGAAATTTCATTGTAAGTGTAAAAATTGATATAATTAAAAAGACAAGAGAATTGTAATTGATAATTGAGAAATAGTTTAGGCGATAAAATGAAACTAAAACTAGGCATTGGGTACATACAGGGAAATAAGGGGTAGCAGCAACTACTTTTGCAGGTGAGGATGAATTTTCCGGGGAAAGGGCATAAACTGCAGCATTAAGAAGTTGGGTTGAGCCAACTCCGAAAACAATGTATCTTCCGTCTGTAATGGCATTCTTGGCGACCGAGTGTACTCTGCGAATGCTCTTCTCGAGTTCTTTTGAGATGGTAGTTTTACCATCAAAAGTATAGCTCATTCGATGCCACCCTGCCACTAGGATTGCGCTACTAGCTGCGTGTTGAATCCAGAATGGCTCCAAGAATAACGGATCCCCACTGCCATCAGCCCATAAAATTGCCACCAAAAAAAAAAAAAATGTAAAATGTTAATGGGGATCCCCAAATTGATTAAAATTACTTGGATTTCAATGGGGTCAAGGAAAAAATAATTGAATTTTTGGGGGTCCTATACTATTTCTTTTTATCATAGACACTGATAAAAGAAGCAAAGGATCCAAGAATTTGGTAAAGAATAAATGTAAGAACCCAAACTGATCACAGACACATAATTTATATGAATGGATTCAATTTTCTTAGATATGAATCTTACTAATAAATTTTCCATATTCTTTTCCATACATATGTGATCAGTGATCAGTTTGCTATGAGTTTATTATGTGTTAGCAACAGAGAGAAGTAAAGAACACAGCAACAACGGTTACTATACATCAGTTATTATCAAAGTTTCTAATCTGTGAATCACCAACCAATATTTTAGGTGAATCCCATATATCAATCACAAACTGAGCCAAACTGTGTGTTTGAGAGCAGGGTTGGCCGTGAGATTTTCGAGTCCCAAGATGGGGTTTTTAAATTCGACCATGCTACGTAGCTCGAAACCGCGGGTCGAAATCGCGGCTTGACACCAAAACGACGTCGTTTTGGTGTCGAATTTTTTTTTTTTTCCGCGGTTTCGAGCTACGTAGCATGGTCGAATTTAAAAACCCCATCTTGGGACTCGAAAATCTCACGGCCAACCCTGCTCTCAAACACACAGTTTGGCTCTGTTTGTGATTGATATATGGGATTCACCTAAAATATTGGTTGGTGATTCACAGATTAGAAACTTTGATAGTAACCGTTGTTGCTGTGTTCTTTACTTCTCTCTGCTGCTAACACATAAACTCATAGCAAACTGATCACTGATCACATATGTATGGAAAAGAATATGGAAAATTTATTAGTAAGATTCATATCTAAGAAAATTGAATCCATTCATATAAATTATGTGTCTGTGATCAGTTTGGGTTCTTACATTTATTCTTTACCAAATTCTTGGATCCTTTGCTTCTTTTATCAGTGTCTATGATAAAAAGAAATAGTATAGGACCCCCAAAAATTCAATTATTTTTTCCTTGACCCCATTGAAATCCAAGTAATTTTAATCAATTTGGAAATTGGGTGAGGCGACGGTCTGCTGCGACGATCAGCAACGATCCACGGCGACGAGCCCTCTCCTCTCTCTTTCTCCCTCTCTCCTCCTCTTCCCTCTCTTTCTCCCCTCTTCTTCCATTTTCGAGCCGTTTCGAGCTCGACCCTTTCGAGCTACGAGACATTTTCGTTTTAAATTAGGCCCTTCATATAAGTAATAAAAAAAATCATTTATTTGAATTTTTTACTATGAAACAAATTCAAAGTTAATATAATGCGAGTTATATTTAGAATGAATGAATTAGTTTGGATCTTTATTTTTAAACTTATTAACCAAAATACCGTAAGAATTAAAATTATTCGGGGCCTTAAAATTTATCGAAATTTGGGAGCCAAAAAAAAAGAAAAGAAAAAGGTGGTTGCCTTGCTCGCCTTAGGCCAAAACCGGCTCTGTTTGAGAGAGAGAGAGAGAGAGATGGCTAACCCATCTGCATCAGCAGGACAATCAGGAGAGAGAACAGAGCAATCAGGGCCTCCAAAGCAATTGTGGCACTCACAAACAGGGTATCCATCAACAAGTAAGCCATCCAAGTAGGCTCTTCCATGGCCTGAGCATGACACTGCTGCCACTGCCTCTGCCTCTGCTGCTGCTCTTTGGCTCCAACTCAACTTCTTCCACTTGCCTCCAACACCCACACCCTCATAATACAGATTTCTCAAAAACAACAGATTTAGAGCTATGGAGGACACTAGGCATAAACCATACATGGAGCTTTGGACCTTTCCCATTTTCATTACTCTTCTTTGGGTCTTCCTTTTCTTTCTCTATATTATTCCCACAAAACTTTTTAATTGTTTTATTGATAATGACTTGAATTAATTTTTTTGTGTTCTACGGTTTCCAATCACCTATTAATTGACTTTCATAATTTTATTTATTTATATTATGTTAGAATTTGGAAAAATTACAGTTTAGTGGGCTTTTGATAAAAAAATTATGGGGAAATTACCCATAGGTCTCATGGGAAACATGTGATCTCCATTTAATCTCATAACTTTTTCACTACACCCAAAAGTCCTTTCCTCTCTAATTATTAATGTATATAAAATTTACAATTGATGTGTATTTTTTTTTTTAAATTTTACAACAAATTGTTATTTTCCCTTACAATTTCCTTTCAAACAGTTCTTAGACAACTATCTCGACAATCTAACAAAATGGGAGAAATTTGCAACGGAACAAGACCTTAAATCTAAAGAAATAACAAAACAATTATTTATTTATTTATATATTTGTATTTTCCAAAATTCAAAACATTGGGGCCATGTTGGATCTTGAATTTATGAAGTAAAAAGGGGAAGAAAAAAAATTAAATGAAAAAGAAATTTTTTTTGTTTTTTGGTTTGGTTTGGTTAGGTTAGAAGATTTAATTGTCAAGAGACATTCATTTTTATTTGAAAGTCCTTTCTCACTAGGGGTGGCGCACGGGTCGGTTGTGGCCACGAAACCTTCAATTCGCCATCGGATGGTCAGATTGGCAGATTAGAAAAAATCAATCCGCATCCGTCTTCCAATTCGGCGGATGTGGATTGAGCCGATTGGCGGTTTAGCGGATGGATGCGAATCGGTTTGGTGGTTTGAAATTTTATAAATTTTCAACATAGTTCAACTTGTGCACTTTCTAAAAAAAGAAAAGAAAAAAAAGATAAAGTATTACAGTCAATGACTTAAAAAAATATTACAATTACTGCATGTCTCATCCAAAAAAAGAAAGTTTGAAATTTTAGAATATCACAATCACTGCATGCCTCATTCACATATTACAATCACAGCATGCTTTATCCACATAAAAATATTACAATCTGTGGTTCTTAAAATATAAAAACAATTCAAACCACTAAAACTATGAACAGAGCAATAGTAGAGATTGTATATCTCTATATTGTTACATTTATATATGTTTTTGAAAACAAAAACCAACCAGCATATATCATATTTTCTATTTATTACTTTTAGATTTAGATTTAAAAACAAAAAAATATAGATAAATAATACGTTTATTTTTTTCAATTCAAAAAATATATTCAAGTTGAAATTTTTTTTTCAACAGAATATTTAAACTTTTTTTCAATTGAAAACACAAACAAAATATTTAAACAAATTAAAAACATAAAGTCTTATAAATTACTAAGGGTGCTTGAGGTTTGGCGGTTCGGTTGCGGTCAAAGGAACCTCAAATCCGCTATTCATCCGCCAAATTGGCAGATTGGAGAAAATCAATCTGCAACCGTCCGCTCGTCATCACGCATCCGTCTAAAATGCGGCGGATCGATTCGATTTGATCGATTTTGACGAATCAGTATATCCGTTGTTCACCCCTATTTCTCACATTGCAATTCATTATTAAAAAAATATATGACGTGGACATATATTTTGAAGAGAATCACAAAGTGGTTGTGGAATAAAATAAGTGGTGTGTGCGGGGGATATCAAGTGCCGCCAAATAAACAAAAGGGCAAAAACAAAAGGATGGAGTCGCCTCCATTATTGCATAAACAGAAAAAATTATTAATTGGTCATGGATATACTCTATATTAATTATAATTTTTTTTATATATTTTTTCATTATTTAATACAAATTTATGAATTTTATCTATTTTATTAATCACAACGTCATTGAGATATCACAGGACAATGTCCCAAAAATAATTAATAACTTCTTGCATAAAGGACCACCATATTATATGTCTTTCCTCCGCTTGGAAAATTTATTGAACAACCTGTGTCTAAAAGTGAGTGATATTTTGAGGAGTTAATAAAAAGTTGATTTTTTTTTGCCGTTTTTAGCTTTTTTGCTAAAAAAAGCTGGTTTTTTTTTTTGACTTTTTCTGTAAAAAAGCTAAAAAGTTAAAAAATTAACTTTTTACCATGTTTTCAAATTGCCCTAAAAGACACTCAACAATTTTTTTAATATGACATACAAAACTTAATTAAAATAAATTAATTTAGAATGGCAATAATTTTATTGTACTATGAAACTCAATTATTGTAAATTAGTTTAAAATGACAAACTTCCAAAAGAGTAATTATCATAGCTTATTAAAAATAAAAAAATTAATTATTCAATTAAGAATAAAAGAGCCAACCACCAATACACATAGAAAAAAGCAACACAATCACAATATTTCTAATGTAAATCAGTCACTTGTAGGAAAATCACTTTAACGCTTGAATTTGACTTAAAAAATCAACTAAAAGAAATTATAACTGGTAAAATCATTCAAAATATTTATGAGAAACATGAAAACTAATAGCTATGTCTTAAAAGGAATTGAACATAAAAAAATTTCTAACATAACTCTTCTTGATAAAAGCACCAATTTCTTTCCCAATTTATCTACAATTATCAAACTAAATACCATCAATTATCACATTCACATTTGAGCATTTTTTTTGTGATCAAAGTACATGTGATTCCCTATAGAAGCTAAAGAAAAAAACTGTTTAAAAAAAAATTATCATATAAAAAAAATGTAACACTAAAATGGACTATTAACGACAAAAACTAAGAGACAAAACAAATTGTTGGATTAAGACTAAAAGATAGGACACCTAGTCAAGGTTCCTTGCCTTCATAAGTATACTATAGATAACCAATTTATTCCATACAAAACAATTTACCTTGAGTTGGAATAGAGTATCTTAGGATTAAATAGAAAAAGCAATATGAAATCCGGCATTTCCTTTTGGGTAGTGTTAAAAAAAAAGGACAATGCCTTCTAATGCCTTCAAGAATTATCAAATGCATCCATCACTACAAACAGTGAATTAGAATTATAAAAGATTGATTCAATTCCTTCTACTTCCATGAGATGAAGAACTTTTACAATTTGTTTACATAAAACCACATAAGAAATCATATAATTAAACAGGTTAAATAAGTAGGCATTGAAGAAAAAGTTAATTGAAAAAAATTATTGATTTCATTAGATAGTGATGAGACTGTTTGAATCTTTAAAATCTAAGATCTTAGGCCCCGGTTGTTTAGAGAGCTAGAGTTGGGATTGGGATTGAAATGGAGGTATGACCCATTATATGTTATGTTTATTTTGAGAGGTGGAGAGGAGATTCTTAATCCCTTGGTAATATGATGGACCTTGGGGAGGGTATTAAAATAGAGGCTTGGGACTTGGTATTAGAAAAACAAAAATGTTTCATGCCCCTTTTTCTACCCACCCCCTTTGACCCCCTCTCTCTCTCATTAGTTACATTTTCTTTTTCTTTTTTCTTTTTTTCCTGCTCCTCCAATCACCACCCGCCACGTGTCTGTGGGGTTGTGGGGGTGGTGATTAGAGGGGGTCTCTATCATGACTCTTAGAAAAATAATCCGCCGGACTTTTTTTTTTTTTTTTACATGTTGGGCATTTTTTTTTAACAGTAATATTTAATTTTTTGTATTTTTTGTTAAGTAAAATCATAATTTTATTTGTTTTATTTTTTTTCTATTTTTTAATTTTTTACATGTTGGGCATTTTTTTTTGGAACATTAACGTTTGATGTATTTGTATTTTTTTATTTATTTTATTATTTTATATAAAAATAATTTAACAACCCCTACACCAACAACTATCATCAAAACAAACAAAATTTTACTATCCTCTTATTATCAATCCTTTCACTATTAATCCTCTCACTATGAATCCTCTCCATTCTACCTCTGAAAACAAACGAGGTCTTATACAATTATTAGTAGTTTATTATATCCCTATTTCGCACTTAATCTCATTAAAATAAATAAGCTTAGAAATTACGAATGCATTTAAACTAATAAAAATAAAATCCATGAGATCCATGGCCATCAAATCCGTTATCTTGTTGTGCTCTTGGGTCAATATTCACTTATCCAACTTTTCATTGGAAGAAAAATTCCGAACATGCAAACCCAAAAAAAAAAAAAAAAAAAATCATGCACAGGAACAAATTTGACATCTCACTAAATTTAAATTCTTTGTTTTTAATGAACATAGCAAATCTAGTAATTCTTGAAAAAATTAATATTACATTTATTACTACATTTTTAAGTATGTATCACTGTTAGAATTAAGAAACGACCACGATATTACATTCAATTATAAGAGAAATATTAAATATCTAAATGTTTTATCAAAATTTTTGTGGAATATTAGTGAGTGTTTGATAGAAATTTTGAAGAAATATTTAAGACTTCTAATATTTTTAAATTTATTATTTGAAAAATTCTACTCTACACACATTTTATAAAAATCACAATTAAAAATTACTAGAGGTAATAATTGGATATATGAGGCATCTAATAAATAAATGTGTACGATTTAAGTTTTCATATTATTTTAAAGATCACACTAAACACATTCCTACAAGTAAACTAGTGGTCACCCGTGCGATGCACAGGTTTTTAGAAAGTCAATAATTATTAAAAAAAATTTGCTATTTGTTTATATTTCTTAACATTTTTATTTGGTTTGTGTATATAAATCTTACTTCACATCATTAAAAATATTTAATATTTCACATTATTGAAAATTTTAAAAAACTATCATATATTAGTAAAACATCACATATATAATAGCTAATTTATCTAAAAATTACTCCAGACAACCAAAAGTAGATTAACAAAGGCATATTATAATTAATCAAAATGACTAATATATTAATAAAAGTAACACTAATTTTGCTTAATCAATAGTAGATATTACATTAATCATCTCATATAATATAATAAATTAAAATAAAATTAATTTTAATTCCCATTATATTTAGTTAGTGGGTGATTAAAATTTTTTACATGCTATTTGTT